CTACAGACCGTCACGGCTGCAGACACTACAGACCGTCACGGCTGCAGACACTACAGACCGTCACGACTGCAGACACTACAGACCGTCACGGCTGCAGACACTACAGACCGTCAAGAGGGAGGCTGCAGACACTACAGACCGTGACGAGGAAGTTGCCAGACTTGACAGGCAGGTTGTGCAGACTGAGTCTTGTCAGGCACCGTAGCTGAGAGATGCTCTGCAGGCTCCCGCAACACCGAACGTTGTTGGGGTTCCTGTAACACAAACTCTGCATCATCATGATATAGAGATAGGAAAAAATAGGAAACTTATAAATTAAAAAAAAAACATGATATAGAGATAGGAAAAAATATAACTCAGTACTCACTGCAGTGAGTGACAGAGAGCGCATTTTCTCGTCGACGAAAACTTGAGGTCACGGACGGACAGACAGACGGAAGCAGACACTACAGACCGTCAAGAGGAAGTTGCCAGACTTGACAGGCAGGTTGTGCAGACTGAGTCTTGTCAGGCACCGTAGCTGAGAGATGCTCTGCAGGCTCCCGCAACACCGAATGTTGCTGGGGTTCCTGCAACACAAACTCTGCATCATCAAGATATAGAGACAGGAAAAAATATCTTGTAACACTAACTTTGCATCATCAAGATATAGAGATAGGAAAAAAACGTAAGAGAGACGAGAGAAAATAAATTTGTAAGATGTGCATTATAAATTGATGGAAATGCACGATGGCAGAATTACCGAAGATTATATAATGTTTCAGACTTTGTTGACAAATCTAGAAACGGTGAATTGTTCAATTACATGATAAAACTCAGAAAAAAACGTAAGTCAGAACATTTGCGCAACCACAGTAAACTTCATAGATTTATGAGTAGATAAGAAAAATATTCCAACATAAAAGATACAAAAACATTAAGTCGTTCATAGAAACTAGCCTCACCTCCACCATAAATACTGTTCTTATGCACCCCTGAAATGTAGGTATACGTTGAAGTACATCACAGCATAACAAGCAATCAAAGTTAGTGGAGGCCGCCGAGGACCGCTTTATCTTGCAATAACTGGACGCTAATATTATATATTATTATACAATATTATATATTATTATGCCATCAAAGAGTTTGGTAGAGTTAAAGAATTTGGTAGAGAGAAGTACATGGTGTTTACCCTGTGACATCATCGTCTGCCACGCCGATCTCGAGGTCGGTGAGGAGAGGTGAGGCGGCCAAAGCGCAACCCAGGGGCGTCTGGTCCGGAGGTTCAGATTCCGTGATGCCGATACGGGATTTTTTGAAGCCATTGCGCTGACAGCTGTTACTGCTGTTGCTGCTGTTACTGCTGTTGCTGCTGCTGCTGCTGCTCTTGGAGCTATTATTCTTGGAGCTGTTGCAGCTGCTTGTTCTCGTGACGTCTGCTGCTCAAGATGAGGAAAACATCAGTCCACTGGCAGTATTCGATAAATTCGATGATATTTATTAGTGTGTAGAAATATAGAAACACGTGACTCGTCCATTAACACTGTCATGTTAAAAAAAACGAAATAAAAGTGGGATATTAGCGCCTTGAGAACGCTAATAGCAAGCTCCTAACATGAACATTTAAAAATTCTGCAATTTTGTATGCTTTCTCGAGACTGGAAAATGAACTGAACGCCAATTAAATTATTATGTTTTCAGGGAGTGTTGGGATCGGAACATATTAGTTTTTTGTAACTTGCAATGCATTTATAAGCACATAATAAGTTGTTAGCTTCCCAAGTACCTAACATTTCCTGATGTCCTGTGACACGCGCAGTAACGTACGACAAGGCGAGTGGATTTTTCGCATTTGTTCCTATGTTGATTTTTAGAATTTAGAAGTCGTCTTTGCATTTATTGCGGCTATTTGGAGACCGAACGTAACCTGGATACACATTGATACTTCGAGGCCACGAAAGGATTGATCCTCATCAATAAATAAGACCTGCATCTCAGTACTTTAAATTTAGTTTAGTTGTTCCATTAAATTATATTCAGTAATTGATTAAATTATATTTGCACATTGCATAAAGCTTTTCTTTCATCCCCCAGCAGGTAGTCCGAATCATCATCAGCGTCCTAGTGTCGCCCGTAAGTGTCAACGTAAATGCAAGGCACACTTCCGTGTTTTAATTGGCAATGTTAAAGATGAAGAGGACCGGACCAAGAACCGTCCCACATGACACTTTATTTTTCACCCTCGTCTCGCTTTATCTTGAGCCTTCAACACCTAACACTTGGAACCTTAGAAGTGTAGTTGTAGATCAGTGCCAGCAACGCATTTCCAACCCTAGCCATCTTAGTTTTATGTATAGAACTTTGTGATTAAAATTTCAAAGACGTACACACGCATACAGTGAAGAAAACATACCTACACCACGAAGCATACTAACTCACTACTACCATCACGACGTACAGACCGCCACCACGACGCAGTCTGCCCACACCACGACGTACAGACTTCCATCACGACGCAGTTTCCCACATCACGACACAGTCTCCCACATCACGACACAGTCTCCCACATCACGACACAGTCTCCCACATCACGACGCAGTAACGATGTCCGACACAACATCTCCCTGACATGCAGCATTCATTATTATATTATTTACTTCTATATTCTTTATATTATACGTATGAATATCATTAGAATATGATTTAATATTGTTTTGCAGCTCCGGCACGCTGCTGCTCACCATCTCCGACACAACATCCCCCTGACACGCAGCATTAATCATTATATTGTTTACTTCTATATTATTCATTATATGTATAATATATCATTAAAATATGATTTAATATTGTTTTATCATTATATTATATGAATAAATATCATTAAAATATGATAAAATATTGTTTTCATTATGTCAAGTCATTCGGGATAATGGCTCGAAGAGGCATGGCATGGCCTGAAGTCCTTCATATCACACGAATTGAATACAGTAAGGTTCTCCTCTAATATTACCTACGTTTCATTGGAGCATGAACTTTTCAACTGTTGAGGATCTCATAATTGAAAAATACCCGAGATACTTTAATTCACTAAATAGTATTCGAATTGGACGATTCCATAGCTAAAGATATTTCAATGTAATAGCTAGTATTTACATCGTTAGATTGAGAAATTGAGAAATATAAGCAAGTGCATCGTAAAACGAGATGACTTGTACCGTTTTTAGTGCTAACCTTTTCGTGATACGCAGTAAATATATATAAAATCTGTATCTTTATTGCATTTTTAGGTTATCTTATGGTGCTTCAGGAGCTATCAACACAATTTTCTAAAGCCATGTACTTCTTTTGTACTTCTTTCGTTCTAAATTTTACCATGTACTTCTTTTAGTACATGGTTTACATTTCTTAAATGTCAAAACGGTATAAGTCACCCCGCGTTTAAAGATACATTATTATAATTATACATTAATTATACTTGAGACATTATAGTATACATAGGTATAACTTATAACTACAAAATAACTACGTACTTAACTACATATAACTATAATATAACTAGTATTATATATATTATTATATAATACTAGTTTATTATAATATATATTATTATATAACAAGTATTATATGTGTATATTATACAAAACTTGCTACATTATAATGTATCAAGTATATATTATAATTTGTATTATACACACTTGATACATTATAATACTTGAATACATTAATTCAAGTTTTGAGTTACACGTACAGGCAGGGGGTCGGTCATGAGCAGCACCAAGGAGGTGATCCAGGGACACTTCTCCAGGATAGTGTGCAGGCTGGTGAGCTCCATGCCAGGCTCCAGCGTGAGCCCCAGGTGCTGCAGCGCCCTCCATGGAGTTAGCCCAGGCACCGCACGGTACAGGATGGCACAGCTGGGGCCTCCACACCGGTTTCCTGTCAACGGAATCATAATAATTCAAAACGTGCTTTGATTTTCAGTGCTTTGTAAAAATAATTTAACTTCCATTACACAATTCAGATTTGCATCATCTAAAGATTCCGGTTCTTGGCACTCAATATCAAGTTAAAATATAGATTAATTAAAAAAATTGACTAATTTTCAGTTAAATGATTTCCCTTGCAAAAATTTTAACCAAACTTCAATCAACTTTTAGTTATGCAGGTTTATGTTCATTGAATTCAAATTTTCATAGCATATTAGGAAGTCTTATTAGCTTCTCATATTTGAAGGTTTATGCAGAAACGTTTGCCAAGATAAGTTTTCATTAGCCCATTCCTTCCGTGACAATTACAAATAAACAAGAGGTTGTAGTTCAGTAAAAGAGATATTGTAATTTCAATTATTTCCAATTCCATAGCTGAAAGTATTGTCAGTAATGGGCCCCACTAGCGGTGAGAGCTTTAAAGGGTTGTAACGGGCTCCACCAGTTGTGAGAAGTGTTATGGGTTGTAACGGGCTCCACCAGTTGTGAAAGTGATATGGGCTGTAACGGGCTCCACCAGTTGTGAAAGTGATATGGGCTGTAACGGGCTCCACCAGTTGTGAAAAGTTCTAAAGACTATAACGAGTCTCACCGTTGTGATCGCTGGCACTCAAGAGATTTCTTTTTCGAGTCCAACGCGCCAAGAAAGCGCGATCCAAGTTTCTGTTGAAAAGGACGTCAGCAAACTGCTGCCTTTCAGTTGCACCGTACCTGTATTGTCATTGAAATAAAGGGATATATGAATTTCAAACCATACCAGGAACTGGACACAAATCCTCGTCCATTTACATGTCTGAAAAAGCTGGAATAAATTAAATTCAGTTGAATGTAATGATAATGGTTGATACAAGGTTTTTAGATTAGGTTGGATACATAGACTGAAACACATGGCCTTGTAAGTTTGAACAACCCTCAAATGATAGAACGTGATGAAATACAAAAAAATAAGAATATACAGAAGCAGTTTATTTGCGCACATTCGAAAACAGCAACAATGAAAATTTAAAAAAATGATGAGAGATGTGCAATATCAGTAAAACAAAAGTTATGGTTTGGATGCAGAATTTTTCTTACGTTGACACAAGAAGCTTTCCAGCCATGTCATTTGTTGTGAATTTTTGTAGTTTAGGAAGACGGTTGTCATCAATGCCTGCAAAAAGATATTGAAATTAATTATGCTAGTTGATTTTTTTTATAAATCCCTGCTACCACATCATGAAAACTAAATCTAGTTGCATCAAGCTGATATTGTTATGCACTAAATGTGGTCTTGATTAAGGAGGAAGCTTCAAGGTTTTAAATTTTATTAGAAATAATATCAAATGAACAAGGCCTACATTCATCTACAATAAAGATATATGACAACATAACTCAAATATGACTGGACTTAATTCTAACATGAACGAATTAATCTTTTAAATGGGATGAGAGAGGTCAGATTGGGTTGAAATAGAATTTATGGTGCCCAACTTCTCAGTTAATAAATTTCTGCAACAGAGCCAGGTGAAAAAAATAACACTTGGCACTGGGTTATGTCTATTGCAAATAGGCAGTTACAGTGAACAAATAAGAACAGATAGGAATGATAAACAACACAGCCTCCTGGCAATAAATTGACTCCAGGTAATATATAATTTGGCATATTGATCTTTATTTGTGGAATTAAATGTTTCACTAAACAATAAGAGAATTATACAATCTATTAATGACTGTCACCAATACCTCTAGGTTTGAAGGAAAACAAAGTGTCTTCGTAGATGTAAGTTCTCCTGCTCTTGAGTCTTGATGTGAACATCAGTGTGAGTTCTTCAAGATTGTCAAAGGAGTCCCAGAAATGATGAGGTGGCAGTAAACTGTCAACATCCAGCGTCATATCAAGTCTCTTGATGGTACTAAAGGCAGCCATACTGTTCAGGCTCAGGATGCCATTGCGGCAGTCATTGTCATCAACGTGACCATTGTAACTAAAAGCCAGGTGAGTGATCTGCACAAGATGAGCAGAACAGATAATCAAAATTTCAGAAAACTTGGCTCAAAACAATGAAATCACAGAAAATTATTTTTATTTAAGAGCAAGTTCTAAAAATAAGAAACTTTTAACATAGTAATCAATAGGTTGTATTCATTTAAAGTTGCTCAGTCTCCCTACATCATCAATGCCATTCAGCAAATGACTGAATTAGGAACTTTCAACCTAATATAAAGAAAATCATACAAATTTTATGAATAGTAATTAAATAACATTCATGCTAATATGTTGATATTAGCATAAATTACTAATCCATTTTATGGTCTACCATAAAAGCATGTCAAGGCTTACATGTTTACAGGCATTGAAAATGGGGACAAGTTGAGTGAAAGTTGCTGGTACTCCCAGTAGAGTGAGAGTCTGCAAGTTAGGACAAGATCTCAAGAACCTGGTCTCATGAGACCAATCAAGCCAGTAGCAGTTGTCCAGATGTACATGTTGGATGAGAAGTTTGCGACTGGGGCGACGCAGGAATTTGTTCAGCTCACTCCACTTGAAGCCATAGCATGAGCGTAAGTTGATTGTTCTGTGGAAATATATTTACATGATAAAATAGCAATCACCTGAGGTAAATAACTAACATAAATTGTAAGAAATATAATATAATGAATTGACAAAAATATATATATAAATCAATAAAAGTGTACCTACCTATATAATTATGAGAGAGTTGAATTGATATACTACCACTCTCCTCCTCTTGAGCTTGGTATATATCTGTATAAAATGACTTTCATTCATGAATTATAAGTGAGCAATAATTATTTGAGAGGCTTACTTGAGAAGACTTTTGTCATGGGCCACTTCCATGCAGCGCTGGCAAGTTTGTGCCACATTGATAAGGTCTCGTGTTGGCAAATACAAGAAAATTTTGATCAAAATTTCATTTGCAAGAGAACAAAAATAATCTGGAGGCTCCACAGGCTCCTTGTTCTTACTCCAGAGTCTTTTCACACTTGGAATCATTCTGAACAAAATAAAAGCATAGGAGTCTCGAAGCCTAGAACTAATTCATGAGGAAAATTTTGAAAAGATTATAATAAAAATTTATACTTAAAATGATAGTTTGGCAAATAATGTGTACAGAATCTTGAAAAGTTTTTACATTCTGAAAACTGTAACCTGTATGAGAAAAAAATGTAATGTCAGCCTGTCAGGCTGTCAGGTGCCTAAGTACAAAGCATGATACAATAATTTATTCAATTATTGGAAGCTCTCAAAGTAGTTCATGGTTTCATGCCTTCATGGTGTAATGATCAATTGATCATGAAGACAATCTTTTATCAGATTTTCTTCCATTATAATAATGATCATCAGATCATCCATTCCTGTTCTATCTTCAACAAATATCAGCCATCATTCTGACAACTTTGCTCTTAAGGGTTTAAGCTAATTTAAGTAATTATATTCATAAACAAATGAAACCAAGGAAAATATTTTATAATTTCAACACGCTTGCCGGTCGGTCGGCGGCGAGTTGCCCACCCAAATTCCAAAAACAACAAGAGTTACAACTTACACGGTTACACCAACAACACAAACCCAAGGCCAAGTAAAACAACAATGAGGCTGAAATCTGAATGAGCAAGATGAGAAAACTGAAATACTTGCAGGGAGAGAGTAGCTTGAGCATTAAATAAATAATGAACCTAAATATCAATTTGTTAAAAAATGGAACATCTTAGTCTGTCACTGATATCGACAAAAATTCTACTAATTCAGAGCTAAGTTGTGAAGGCGCCTTCGCTACGAACGCAACTGACGAAATGATATTGTTATGGTTGCAGATCAGCTGTTTTTCCGACTTTTTGACAATTGAGAGGTTTAGATTCCGCCCGTTTATCAGCTGACTAGCTGAGACCGACTCGAGACTCCACTGATCCTTCTATAAGTTCGCTTACAATTTTCATTTATTTTGATTTTCTTTTACAGCAGATTTTATGATAAGAAGAATATTACAGAGGCAGTATTATTGACGAGATCGAAGCGGCAGGTTGAGGAAATTCTAATGAAATTAGTAGTCGGCACCGTTGCTGGGCCTTTTAACTTTGTTCAGTTTGTTGTTGACTTTATTGTCGGATTGACCATTGACGAGTCCTCAGTCTCACTCTGAATCTGATGCCATTAGGCCGTAGGCACGTCGCACGTGTGGATTATGGGTACGTTGATAGGTAGTTGATTGCTTTACAAAAGGTAATTTTTAGTAGCAGAAATTTTTTTAGGTTTGCATAAACTGATAAAGGACAGCAGTTATTCTAAGAAGTCAGATGATCCTTCGCTTTCATTCAAAAATCCAAACTATGATGATTCCTTGTTATTTTATTTCTAAAAAATAGTGTATGCTGACTTTGCTCAAAATATTGCCTTTGTGATTCGACTCACATTCTCTCATTTTGCCTTTGGTAAATGCTGAGTCATTATGGATGACTGGAAGTTGTTTTTTAATTGAATGTGGATTTTTTAGTCATTACTTGCGCTGTTACGCATCAATAATGGCATTAATACTTTGTATTCCCAATTTTCCATTTAATTGCAAAAATATTTTAAATTAATCTATAGAGATGAACAATATTTTCAACCATAGACCTTTCACATGTAAGATTTATCACATAATCACTCACTGTGGTTATGAAAGTAATGCAAATAGCCTATCTGCTGTAAGAGTTTAACATTTTCATTTTATGTTGGGCACTCGAGTCAAGTTGAATCGACTAGTGGGCAGGGACAGTAGGGTGGCCCAGTGCCCAGTGGTTAAAGTTCAGACTTTCAGAGTACCAGGATTGGAGCAGAGAGGCGCGGGTTTGATCCCAGCTCTGTGCATGCCAGTTTCTGGTCAGAATTGGCAAGGAGGCCAGGCAGTTAAGCACAGCTGAATTGTAGCAGTGAGTTGCGAGTTTGAGACTTCAAAATGCTGTGAATGTTCTGCAATGTTGAGAATTGGCAACAGGCCCACGGCCTACTAAATGCTGAAACTGCTAAACCGCTTATGCAATTTTAGTTGTTCAAATAAACTACGTAGTACGTAATAATTGTCCTATTTGCATGCCAGGGTGCAGATGGTGCAAGGCTGCAAGCAGCGTTGCTAAGATATGTTTTTTAGCCCAAAGCATCGCCAGCTATTTTCAAAAGCTGTCGCCGAGTAATTTTTAATAAGAAAGTGCTGCAAGCAACTTTTATAGTATACCGTAAAATGGGGTGACTTTTACCACTTTTTTTCAAAATGATGCCATTTTTTACTAGATAAGTTAAACTTAAATTGAAACTTGCAAAATATAGGTCTATAATCTAGCTTCACTTACCATAAATTGCTGGCTCCTGCCTCTCATAGTTTTGATGTAATTTAAAAAAAAATCGATGGTCTTTTTTACCCCAGCTCTTGGGGTATCTTTGACTGGGAGTCAGGGTGCCATGGTCAGGAACATGTGCCAGGTGCGCGGGAATTTATTTTGTCATTTTAACGACCTGCGTGGTGCGCCGTACTACATTGGTAAAAAAAATGCGTCGTGCGCCGTACTTTAGAAAGCTAAAATAGTTCTACTATTTTAGTCGACAATATACCCGAGTATATTGACTATGCGAGTCGAACTGTCAATAATAAAATGTAAGACATGTCCGGGTTACTTCTGACTCTTCCGGTTGTCCGCCTTGTCGGATACGGAACGTACGGTAATTGTAAACTGCGGCTGTTATACATACGAAATGTAAACAGACGGTGTTCAGTGTTGCCATATGACTTTGGAGAAAATTTCTTCTAAAATAAAGATGGCCGGGATTGCGCGAACACATGTGCAAAGATAATCAATTTTCATTACATTGCGCCAACTGTGCACAGCAATAGCTTAAAAAAAAGTGAAAATGCGCGGGAAAATTCATCAAAAACATACATCATCCTGAGTGTGGACTGGGTGGTCTTAGTAACCCCATTGGGTGTTCTTAGTCACCCCATCTTCATCTTGGTTTAAGTTGCCCCTAATGTTAATAATTTTTCAAGTATTTAACAATACACTTTATTTATCTTCACTTACAGGGAATACAATATTAACTTTTGAGCAAAATACACACAATTGGCAAAAAAATTTCCATTTTTTAACATATTTCAAATAAATAAACATAATAGCTAACTGTTCCTTCTGTAAATATATGCACTAACTTCCTTTTGTAAGTAAACATGATAACTTTCTGCCATAAATGTAATAACTTTTTTCATAAACATAAAAAATGTTTCTTTCGTAAATAAAGACTGAGTCACTGACCTAAGCTAATGCCTACAGACTTACATCAAGAGCAGCATTGAACACATACTGCTCTCTACTATTAAACTTTTAAGGCACATCAATAATCTCACAGATGTCCTTCATCTCCATTGAGGCTGTGTCATCTTTAGCCACTGTAAATACAGTCTTGTATTCACTTGCATGGAGGAATGTGACAGACACCTCAGTCTCAATAAACTGATCAACAGTAGCTAAATATTTTTGATGTTTGTCACTGCTGTTGTTGACATCGACTTTGGTAATCACAAAGCTACCCACTTTAAGTGCCCTGCTCTTAGTTATTGTTGAGGTACAGGATCCTTCAACAGTGGCACTGATAGGAGCAGTTGCTTTTAGTTTCTTGGTAGGGGTGGGTTTTACTTTGTCAGATGTATTACCTGCTGTAGGAGTCCCAGAACCAGGAGAGGGTATTTCTTTCTGCACCTTTGATGGTGTGCCTGCTGGTGTACCTGTACAGGGAATACAATATTAACTTATTAGCAATGAACACACAACTAGCAAAAAAATTCCCATTTTTTGAACATATTTTAAAGAAATAAACATAATAGCTAACTGTTCCTGTATTACCTGTATCATTGGCTACTCTCTTTCTGATCTCACTATGCCGCTTAATGAAGGACTGGGCCCAGTCTGGGCCTGGCAAATTCATAGAAAACATGGGAACGGTGCGCCCTTCTGAATCAAGGTAGCTTTTGACTATGATGCGTAAATCCATTGGTTGGAGAGAGAAGCCATAGTCACTGCACTGAAGTGTCCTCTTCACTATAAGGGCCTCCTCTACCTGTGAGAGAACAGTCTGTCGTCCAGGACTAAGCACAGTTTTTCCATGCACTCTGTTGAAAAGAACACACTTGCCGATGCCATACTGCTTCACAGCTTTTGTCAAACTTATTTCCTTGTCTTTGATCTTCTGCACTACTTGATCAACAAGATCTCTGCTGTAATTCTGGTAGGTACAAGCCCCCTTTGGACGTTTGTAGATCCTAGGCATCTTGAACTAAGGTCAATACTTTTTAAACTCTATATCTAACAATAATTAGAGTCTGTAGAGTCTGAAACATAAAGAAAATACATTAATAGGTGTATCAAACATAAAATGTAATATATGGTCATTTTAAATTAATTATCAAGCCGGTCTATGTTACCCCGTCAGGGCTGACATTAGGTGGTCAAAGATCCCCCATTGGAGGGTGGCGCCCCCCATTTTCAAGCTATGACACTTTCCTAAAATTTTTCATTTGCATATGTAACTAGAAGAGTTCTACTACAATGCATCAAAACCTGGAGTTATTTTGCCAAAAAATATAAAAAATGGAGAGGGTACTCCGATAGGCTTTAAATAATAGCTCTTTTTCGTAGGTCACATTTTTAATTTTTTAACCTATTAGATATGCAAACTTTTTAAATCTTTCTATTGTGTTACGTAGCCTCAGTATTAGGCCTTTAATGCCTATTGACAAAATTTTTCTATGTCAAATAGTTTTTGAGTTTTGGGGGTTTTTGTTAAAAAAACAAAAAGTGGACCAAGTTACCCCGGGAGTCAAAGTTACCCCATTTTATGGCATCCATTACTATCCACACACCACAACATTTACACATATCACAACTGATTTCCAGACAAGCTTCACTGCATCCTGATCCTTCTGGTGTAGGTACCGGAAACCTTACTGTGTGCATGTGCAGTCTTCCAGATTTGAAGTTATTTCTCATGTGCAATAATTTAAATCCAAATGTGTCAGCAAGATCTTCAAAAGGCATAAATTTTGCTGCAGATGCATTGCCA